AGCACTTTGAAGTGCAAGCATTCTTTCATATCTAAGCATTTAAAATTTCATACAGGACTAAATAACTGAAAATCTGCATTTTAACACAGAAAGTGGTCTTTCTTTTTAAACTCAAAACACCTGAACATCTTTCAGTAAGTGTTATTTAGTCCCTTTTGCTAGAGGGTCAAGTATAAATCTGAAACAATTCACAGGTATAATATAATAATAATTTTATATATATTAATACATATGTATAAATATTTTATATGCTAATATATCTATAATATATGGTAATATAATAATATATCTAATAACTGTGTCATAGCATACTTTGCTGACTAAATTGTAATAATAAATTGCAATTAACTATTCCTTTCTGATATTGACAATCCTAAACATGAGTTAGCTGAAATCTTACTATACATTTACATTCACATTCCACAGTTAATTGTTTTAAATGGGTGATAAACAGAAAAATGTAACTTGTGTTTCACATTCAAAATGGAGGAGGAAGGGAAGGAAAGAAGAACACACGTGAATTGTTCTACCTGTGGATAATTACTTTAAAACACTGAAATCCTAAATGTATAAATACTTCTCCTGATAGGCAGTTTGGTCTCTAGGAGGACAGTGAAGGGGCACCACACCTCCCCCAGTAAATTCACTATATCACTATGACTCTCAGCTTGCTGATCTCTAGGAAAGGTTGTTCTTGGCTATGTTGCTGCCACGAGGCTACACATCATTGTGTTAAGCTCTTTAATACCATTTCTGGCAACAGGACTCCAGGAGATCAATAGTGCTGCTTCCTAAGCTCTAAACCTGCTTTTAGTGATTTACCGTATCATCAATGGCCAATAAACTAAAATGCTGACGTGTCATCTCTTCCACATGAAATTTGTCTCTATGTTTTCCTTTCACCCTGTTGAAGAAAAAGTTTTATGAATGGAAAGCATGCATGGTAAGTAATTCAACTTGTCAATCTCAAAGCAGATAAGGAACAAAAAGGACACTCGTTCCATATGAAATATATGCCACTTACATTAAGAACTTCAAACACTAACAGGCATGGGTGTAACTCAAACCCCACTGCCCATCCCATCAGTCTCACCTTCTGACTGGGTGCTGATCATGGGCCATATTCAATGTGTACAAGTATGAGAAATAAAACAAAAATTAATAATACAAAAAATACATACACTACATTGCCTTAGAATTTAGTCTCACTTTTGCATTTGTACCATAGCATAGAAATAGAAAAATGATAACTTTTTAATATTAATTTTAGGAAAACATCAGATGATGCAATTTGTAAAAAAGTGAAAATTTTCTTTCTGTGTAGTCATACATTTCTGGACTATTTTAACAGAATTTGGTTGAGAGAATGTAAAGCCTGTGTGACAGGAAAATATTTATGGAACATAAAGCTCCCTATAGAATTTAACCTAATCGACTAACCAGGCAAGAATCTGACAAACAGGTTTGCTTTTAAAAAGCAACAATGGGAAGTGTGGTAAAAACTAATTTTCTACCATTCCTGGTCTGCCTTCAATGCTGTTCTGCAGAGGGGGAAGTGATAAGCAAGTCTGATGGCACTTTAGGTGACAACACTTAAACCCAGTGAAGACTTCAGAACCCCTGTACAACTTCTTTATTCTTTACAAGTATTTATCCAATAATAGGTGACTAGATTTTACAGTGTAGTAAAAATATATCCACTTCTTCTAATGAGGATGCACTTTGCTCTGACAAGGGGCAACTGTTAAACTTGTTTTGGTACCTGTCTTAAGCTGCTCAGTTTTAATGATCCTTCCACATGTCTTATTTCGATTTTCACAAAACCTTTTGGAAAAGGTTTATATATAACAAAAACCAAAAAACAAGAAGTCCAGGCAGGAAAATCAGTATCCCTGCAGAAACATGAGCAGGTATAATGGAAGCACTCCATGAACACAAGGTATACGAGGTCTGCATTTCTTGTATTTTTTTAATAAGACTGGAGTTTAGTTTGGATAAATGACACAGGGAGGGAGGAGAAACAGAATATCACACTGAAAGACAATAAAAAGTAACCCAGATGTCCTGACTGTACCTGCAGCTGCTGGAGGATTTCACTCAGAGAAGCTGAGATAATGTGTTGCATCTTGGACAAGCCTGCACCAGTTTGCTTTGTGTCTACTAAAAAAGATTTTTCATTCCTACAGCACATTTCTGCCTTTCCTTTCTGTCTTTGTAGGCTCTTCTGCACAGACTGCAAGAAATAATGAATGCTCCCCCAAGTTTTCTGGAAATGGGAAAGTTACTTATCCCTGCTTATAGAATAAATCAAACACTTTCCCTTAGAAAAGAAATGTGGAAAATGGAAGTAATCTACGGAAGCAATACATGTGAATCAATAATGCCAAGCAGTATTTATGGATCTCATTACCTCAACATGTGCTTTTTAGGATCATTTTAAATTACTATTAAAAATAGCCATAGGTACATCTAAAATTAATATTTTAGAGTTCAAATGGTCTGCATTTGCCAGTGCAGATATGCATTTGTTATATAGCTCTATTAACTAAAGGAACAAAAGGTATTGCAGAATATAATAGCGTTCTGCGGAAGAAGAAATTTCTACAGGAAAATGATTCAATTATTCTAAATCAATTATTTCAGGAACAGCTATATCAATCTCCTTATGTGTTTCTAAATCTTCTGTCTGCTACCTGTGGATATTTAATTGGAATTAACGTAGAAAAATATATCCCACTAGGAACAACATTCAAATAATGTGGATCATTTTTCTTGCTCTAGCTTCTCTTAGTGAGACACACATGAGGGACAAGTCAAAGCCATCACTTTGTGCAAAAAGCAGCAGTCAGCAACAAGCTTTAAACATAGCCCCAGGCTCTCTGTGTGGGACAGCTGGATTGGCCACAGACATCATCACCCTCTGGAAGAAACCTGCACCAAGCATTGCACCAGAGCTTTATGTCCAACACATTTGACAGCCATTATTTGATCAAGAGTCTTCAAAAAAAATAGCAAAGCCCTTTCCAAAAGGAAAGCAGACTGTTCAACCCTGTCAGCAAGAGAAGTAAGAGCATTTTTCTTTAGCAGAATAGATGCAGACCATATGATTAAGAGGCATAAGGGACACCTCAGACATCAGAGTATTTCTGCCTCTGAAGCCAGCTTTGCAGGTTCCTGTCAGACTCACCAGCCACAGGGACAGAACATGTTAATACAAAATCTGTACTGCAAAAAACGAGATCCTACTGTATCTGATAAGCATCTGCTAACAGACCACAAGAAGAGCACAACAGTAAGCACTTCCTCTTTCTTTTATCAGAAGAGATTGTCGCCATGCCTCTCCCTGACCCTCCACTTCTCTGCAAGCATCAAAGGAGTTGTGAAATTAATTACAGAGACAGCTGTTTCTTGGCTGAGAACATACCAAGGTCCTCCTCTACCTACCAGCCACATAGAGCATATGGGATGGGGAAAAGAAAAAGAAAGGAAATAACTTCATAGAGGAGCAGCTCATCCACTTCCATTTCTCTAAAGAGATCAAGTTTTATGCCTGTTGGTCCTTTTGTCAGTCTCAAGGGTGAAAAAGAGGTCTTGATATATCTCTGGCCAGCCTCATGATGAAAAGGCTCCGTGAAATCCCTCTCAGATTTAGGGCATTCCCAGAGGGCTGTGCAGCAGAAGTTACAAGGGTTTAAGAGAAACAGGGAAAGAAAGAGGAAAAAAGACAAGGAAAAAGAAGCACTAAGGAGACAAAGGAGCAGTTGAAACAAAGATGATGTTACTCATTTCCATGCTATGCTGGAAAATCTCAATCTTACTCTGAGGTCCTGAGGAAGAACAGAAAAAAAAAAAGTCTTCAGTTGCATCGTTAACATAACTGGTAACAATGAAAAAAAGCTTGTGAGAAGGGAGAGAACTACACACCAATATGTCTCAGTCAAGCTGTGTCAGTTCAAAAAATATTAGAAATGACTAGTTGCCTCTAACAGAGCAGTTCTAGAGGTCTCATTTGCCTTCTAAAGGGGAAGCTGACACTTCAAAACTAGCATCACCAATGGAATCAACAAGGTTGCAGTGAAAGAGACAGGTTGTGGATGGAGATTACGATAAAATGAGAGCCTGGCATTTCTGATATCAATAGAGCCTTGGTATTTTCCAGCCTGTAGCCCCCAGTGCCCTGGTGAGCTTAACACTGAGCCACTGCCACATGTTTGCTGGAACTGATGGCTCCATCCAGTACACACACTTTCAGCCTATTTATTTTAATTTATTCTACAACACTTATTCTCAGAAAAACAAACTTCACAACTTCATTCACACCACATTGAAGGAATGCAAACTTCCATGGATCTAAAAAATACCATGCTGCAGTTCATATTAATGAAGTTATGAAATATTTCATTAGCACATTAGCACATCCTGGAGTATGAATAATTTCTCACAGAATTTCACTTGGCAGCCTCCTCTCTCATGTGGCCCATCAAGATAGCGCATTATCTTTTAGCTTCTAGAAAATGGGACTTGCAAAAGATGATTGAAATGCCAGAGTTGTTTATTCTAGAGGAGAGGGTGAAGGGGCTGTGTCACTATAACCTCCAAGTGTGCAAAGGACTGATGAACAGAAGGGAATGTGCTGCTTCCCATGTGTTTTGTGTATGAAACAGTAAGGAAAAGGATTAGACATAAGGCAAGGATTTCTAAACACAAGGACAGAACAGCACATTGCTTCAGAAGTTTGTGTAGTCTCCATCACGGGTAATCTTTAAAGACAGCTTAGACAAACAACTGAAGCAGTGCCCAGTTCAGTAGGAGCCTCCTTGGATTGCATTGTTTCCTAAGTTCCCATTTTTTCATCAATATTCCTGTAGAATTCATACAAGTTTGTCAGATAAGGCAAAAAGTAGCACTAATGGATCTATATTTAATGGATTACACAGCATGAAGAAGATAGAAATGCAAAAAGCAGAAAAATGCAGTCTTGTAAAGATACAGAACCTCTCTGTGCTGGGCAAGATCAAGGACTGCATTTCTGGGTACACAGATACATTCCTCAAAGTGTATGATTGCAGAGTTGTTCCCTCCTTCTCACCATCACTAAAACAGGAATTGCAGCAATTTCTCTTCCAGACCATTTGGTTAACACAATCTGATTTTTGGTGGGGGTGGAGACAAAGCCACAAAGGCCGCTTGAGAGACAGGCTCCTCAAGACTTCTACAGTGGCCAGCAGAGCCGATCCCTAAAGGCCCGAACGACTGACATTGGCTGGCCCGATTAGAGAAGCAGCTAATGCCTCTGTGATAACATATTTAACAACAAAAAATATCACATGATGCTCTCTTTCTTGCTGCTCTTGAAGCAGGGGACGGGTGCTGCCGATCCCCTTCACAGTGGAGGCCGCGGGGCCCTGGCCTGGTGCGGCCCTGAGGCCGAGAGCAGCGGTGTGGCCACGGCCAGCCCGGAGCAGCGGGAGCGGCCAGGTTGCCATGGCTCTCTCGGCACGGCTCACCATGAACTTTGCTTGTTCAGCTGCTCTTGGCCAGCCACACTGAGGACAGAAGGCACTCCACGCAAAGGAGAGGTGTGTAGTGGAGCTGGCGGCCAGTACCTACACAAATAATTGACGTTCACACCGTGTATCCTACCCATTAGAAGCAGAGAAATGATCTTCCTACTCTTCAGAGTCCATAATAAAGCCAAATAGCAGAAGCCAGCAGCATCCAATGGGACACACAAGCATCATCCTGCTGTGTCCTTCCTTCTCTCCTCTAGCTACGAAGTTTTAATGTGTAACCTCCATTTAATTATCACCTTTGGCTCCTCTGCATAAGGGAATGTCAAGAACAGGCTTTTTTACAGCAAGTTTACTTCCCTCTTGATAAGCTCTAAGCCAAGAGGCAAAGCAACAATCTGAGTTTGACTTCCCTTCTTCACCCCAGCCTAAGAGAGCTATAACTACCATAGCCAGGTCCAAACCTCTATTAAAATTAAATCTACCCCTGTTCCCAATAAGTGCCTCCAGCAGGACAAAATAAATCTAGGTAACTACGAGTAATGAAATCATGCTGCAAGAAAATTGAAAATACCTGTCAGTCCACAAGAACAAGTGGTCTCTCTTTTGAACCCAATTCATATATAGTCTATACCCACAAGGATTATTTTTTTGGCTCCCCTTCAAACCTACTTCAGCAGCAAAACAGACTGTAATATTTCTGCACCCAGAAAAGCATTTTAAAGTCTTCTTTTAACCTTCAAACCACAGTTCACAGATGTGTGTGACCTAACTAATTTCCTACAGCTTGGCAAGTCTGAGATGCCCCCTGCACTGAGCCCAACACTCAGAGCTTCTGTGGCATCCACCCTCCCTGCTATCAGAAGCAGCACCCCTTTGTATGGGCAGAGGAGAATCCTGACCACATCCACACTGATCTCACTGGTTGCTGGTTAACAGTCATGAATACCTCAGCTGCACAGGGAAACCTCTACAAGTGAGAGGAAAAATACTGAGCTTTCTAACGTCACCCAACAGCTCCTGAATCAAATGAAATCTTTTCCACTGCTACAAAGGAGTTGATGTGAAATAGCTCAAATATCTTCTGTAATTGCAAAGTTTATTCTAACTAGAAAATTCACTATAAAGCCACTTGTGGCTTATAGGATATTTTATGTCGTGTCATTGCAATAATTTTTACTATGGTGCTCATATAAATATATATGGAGAGAAAGTTCAGCTCATTTTTTACATTTAAAATGTGCCTTACTAGTAAGTTTCCACCCCAAGACGTGGAATGTTCATTTTCCTGAAAAACATGAGGTTAATCCAGCTGTAGAACAGAACACAAAAGAAGAGGAGAAAACAGAAGAGGAAAACAGCCCTCTGTGACATGCAACTACATGATGTAAATAAGTGAGAGCTGGGTTACTTAAAACAGCACAGTACTGCCACTCTGACGCATTCACAAATCATGAGCCAGATCCCCAGGAACTCCAAACACGGCTTAAGAACCATGAATTTTACAAAATTAAAATAGTGTGGATTTCCTGTCATTTCCCTATGTGTACTTAAGCCATCGGGATCACATTTCAAGCTACATTTCCCTTATGGCACTCTTGACTAAAAAAAGACTTCTCCTTTATTTTACTTTCTCACTGAAAGTGAGATGTTTCTGCACTCACTCTAAGGGCTGGCAACATGGTACAGATGTGTTTGAGAAGTGGAGGCTTGGGAGAAGACACCTCTGCTTAGGCTTGGAACACGTGACTCACCTATTCTGTTGGCAAAAACCCAAAATAAGGAATGAAACAAGACCTGAGTGTCGAGGGAGTAAATCCTTACAAGAATAACCAAGCTATTTGTTCCTCTGCTGGTCATTGTGTTCAAGAACAAGTTTTAATTGTGTGAAATTACTGCAGTATTATGGGTAGAACTGTGAAATAAAAAACTACGCCAGAGATACCAGCAGAGGTTTTGTAGAGTCCCCAGATGACTGGTATCAGCTAAGTCCTGTAATACTCACTCTATCTTCTATCACAATAGGTTTCCTGGGAAAGATGTTACAAAGATCCCCAGAGGAAACAATGTGTGCATCTGCTCTGCTGCTACCTCTCTGTTCCATCCACTCACACACAAGTAGTTTAATGGCAAAGAAGAGGTTAAGAAACAGTATAACTAACCCCCCCCCCAAAATTATTTCCATGAAACTCAATTTTTTTTTATTTAGTAAGAAAATAAACTCTTAATCAAAATCAGCATGCCTGTGCTTTTAATTACATCCCCTAACTGTGAGAAGAGCAATTTAGCATCATGCAATACAATATTAGACTGACCTTCAGAATCAAAATTATATTAAAATGTTATCAATTTTCAAAGACTAATTAAGGAGCACCAAGAAGTTGCTCCTGGGTGTGTAAATAAACCTTTTTGCCTCTCAAAGCAGGCTAGTGATTCCCAAGGTGCACAGACTCCCTCACCTCTGAGTCTCTGCATTTGTCCCCTGCCCTTGCCTGCTCCACTGCCACTGATGGGGCCCAGTCTGAGCTCCAGCAGGTTCCTCTGCTCACCATTCCCAGCTACTCACAGCCTTTCGTCCTCTCTCCAGCAGCAGCTCCAGGGAAAGCCACAGGCAGCCCTCCTCCTCCTGTCCCAGAGCAGCAGACACAGAATATCCACAGAAAATCACCTGTGAGGCCCCAGACCCCATGTCCTCCTGACACTTTTATTAGTATTTGTCACAGCACAAAGCTGATGGAAATTGAACAGCGGGTTCACAGCAGCTCTTCTGCTTCCTTAGGGACAGTGAACTGTGTCACCCCTCCTGTTTCACACAGGACAATGAACTTTGGGATACCTGGGGGTCACGAGCATGGGACAGAGTGCCTTATTGCCACAAAGGAAGTGGTATTGCAGCTTTATTATAGGGGAAAATCCAATGCATAAAAGCTAAACCTAAGAACCTACACACTTCATGTACCTAAATCCAAAAGCCCATGCATTTCATGTACCTAAAGGTCACCAGTCACTCTTAAAGCTGTACAAGCCTGAATCAGAATCCTTGCTGATAATTTGCATCAGGAGCTCCAAGCCATATCTGAATCTAACATCTCCCAAACAACAATGTCAGCTGTGTGGAGCAGCACTTACACTTTTCTCAACATCTTGAAATCTCATTTCTATAATGAAATTATCAAGAAATGACATATCTACTGAGATAGTGCCTTCATCATCAAAGTTCTGATTAGAATTTTTAATTAATTAAACACAGTTGACTACTGTACTTCAGTCTTCAGAGATGATTCTTGGTTAAATCAGACATATCCTATATGCTTTCAAAATACAGCCAGGTACAATGTAACATTCAAAAGAAGCAAATGTAGTCACTAAATAATGGCTAGAACAGACAAGTAGCTAAAATATTTTGTAATGAAGAAAATGGTTGGATTTCTCCAGGGCAGTTCCATCCCCTGAAGTCATTGTCACATATGGACATTCTTGTTACATTGAGTGCCTGGTGTTTTCATATTCTGTGAGGGTTTAATTTAATTGACAACTACGAAAATAAACTATATCACTACCAACTTGGATACCTGGCTTTGAATTCTGTCTTTCCTTTTCCCACACCTGTTACAAGAGTCTCTGAATGGGGGATCAATAGCCATGATGAGATAGCACAGCTCACAGAAAGTACCTCTTGAAGAGCTGATGGCATTTCTGCTGTGTCAGACCACACCAAATTAAACCCATCATCCTTTCAAAGCTGTACCCCAAGGAGCAGGCACCTTGCAAGTCCAGCAGATGGGCCAGGACTGCACACAGCCAAGAGACACTGTTATGTGCATTAAATGCTTGTTGAGAGCAAGGCTCCCAACCTGGGATAATGAATTAGCTGTCAAGGACACTCTGTCCATATGCAGAAAATCTGATGAAGGTCTGTAACACTTTAGCTTTTAAAAGCCAACACTTGTAGCATCTATGAGAAGCAAAGGAGAGGCTAAATCCATGATGGTAGCAAAGCCCTGTGAAGATACATTTCTAATAACATCCATTCCCCTTAAGCTGCCAGAAGACAGGTGTATTTGAGGATCACAGAAAAAGTTCCAAAGCCAGATCCACTTAGTTCAGAGAACAGTAACATAAAAACACTCAGTGAATAAATTTAGTCATCTGAAGAAATAAATATAAACAAGGTATCTTTTTTTTTCCTGAAGAGATTTGTTTTTGTACAAGAAAAATGTGAAGAGTCCATGTCAATGAAAACACAATTTTCCCATCTACTTGTTGGAAGTTATGGTAACACTGATGGCCTGGCTTTGCACCCAGACAGAACCAACTGCTTTAACCCATGTAAACTGCTCCACAAACCAAGGAAGTCAGGCATTCCCCCATTTCTCATCTTAATTCTTTTTTTCTTTTCTCTCTTTAGGGAAGAATTCAGGTGTTTATTTTCCTCTTCCTTGACTTTCCATTTTTTTAATTCCTCTAATTCCTTCACTTGGATTATGGTAACTGTACTGTGTTAAGAGAGCCCAAGTACAAGACTCATAAAACCATTCCTCTTGCATGGACTTGATGTCTGCAAACCTGAATACTCTCCAGCTACTGAATTGTTCAAAGGATTTGTGACAGCAAGTGTGGTTCTGTGTGTGCCTAGAACCATTAGGAAAAAAGACCAATATATTATTTATGTACAAAGCATCCATATCTTTCTGCAGAATTATCAGGATTCTCCTAATGGGAGTGCTGAGGTTGACTAAATTAGCACAATTTATCAAATGGCAGTGTTACAAATATGAAAGCTCTCCACACACTATATTTAGGTTCAGCAAGCATCAGACCACAATTAGCAAAAGTCGCCAAACCTCATCACAGTGGAAACATTGATTGTACCCCATTCCAGATGTTATTAATGTTTTCTGCTGCCAGTCAAGCCAAAGCTACTCTCTGCAGAGGCTCAATCAGCTGACATGATATGGTTGCAGATGTGCCAAAACATCTGTTGTTTTAAAAAAAAGTAACTTTGTGAACACTACAGATGTTTTTCACCTTACTGTTAAACAACTCTTGGCTATAGAGTGTTCTCCACTGTGAGTTCTTGTGGCCAGTGACCAGTTATGCTGCATAAGAAATTAACCCAAAAAAATAATTACAGGATTTGCAGCAAGTAAAACAAATTTCAGATAGCCACAAATCAGTCTGTCCAGACTATTCCATTCTTAGATATAATAGGAAACAGGATGGCCAAGGAACCAGAAAATACATTTGCTGAATCTTTGGAACTCCCAAATCACAGAAAAGGAGACCCAAGGCAGCTTTCTTTGTGGCATGATTACTGATTGAAATCTGTGCTCAGACTGCACTGTTCCTCTCTACAGAAAACATTTTAGCTTTCAGCTGGCAGGGCTAAAATCCCTTGCTTGGACACAACATGCAAGACTGACCTGCTTAGCGTGGTCTCCAAGAACAGTTCAGGAGCAGACTTTACAATCAGGATCTGCAGTATGATGGAAAGTCTGTTCAGAGTGTCCTGCCTTCCCCATATCACTAGATGGGGAGGAAATCTTGGAACAACCCACATGTGGAAGAGATTACTTGTATTATTAAGAAAGAAAACAAGAACACACTGCAGAGTTGCATCTTTGGCCGGTAAAAACTAATGTAATTCCATTAACTGGGTATTTTACCCTCCAGGAGATCTATAACTTTAGAAACTTTCACCAAATAATACCTCACCACAGACAGTGATGTTGTTCACAGATGCCTGTCACTGTCTTTTAAAAAGAAAGCAGTAAAAAGCAGAAGAGCTGGCAACACTGAGGGACTGAATCTGAAGGAGACTGAATGGGTTTTTTTCTGTAAACAATGAAAAATACTGAGCTGTAACTTCCAAAAAAATCTTTTTATTGATAAAAAGAGGGGAAAAAACCCAGGAAGATGGGATGTAGGCTGAATTTTATCCCTATCCTAGCACTATGTGGGATAGTGGTATTTGCCTAGGAGCTTTCAGGTGTGTGATTTAAGAATCCAGGTTGGGCACCCTGCCTCACTGTGCACTCAGGTGGGAAAGGCAGGTGCTCCTGGAGACCAAGTCAGAACAGCTGAATTATTATCTCTGAGATAAGGATAGGCATTCTGGAGACTTCCTTTGCTTTGTCCAGCATT